ATAACTGTGATTATGCATACGAGATATGTAAGATTCGTAATAACATATTGAGAGAATATAAAAATCTTACTTAATTAATAAAAAAATAATATAGTATCTTTTAATATTAGCTTTTGTGAGCTCTATGCAATGATATTTATTCACTTTAAAACAATATTTTATCCTTATAAATATGAAAATATGAATCTATAAGGATTTTATATTTGTTTTGTATGTTACGTATGAGACGTAATATTTTTGCTTGTTACCCTGATATTGCACGAAAGCTTGAATATCGCGTATGAAATAAATTATAATTGTGAAATATTTATCAAAATTTTTTTGTCTTTTCAATTTCGCGATATTCAGCTTCCGTGCATTATTGGAATACCAAACGGAAATCGATTGAATGGTTGCTATAGACAATGTTTAACTGTAGGACAACATCACACTCAACACTGGAAATCCTCAGCAGCAAGGCTCTTCCGTACTATCTCTTCCGTGCAACAACAACAGCAACAACAAAAAGGCGTAAGTATTCCAAACATATACAGATAACTTTACTTTTTAAATCCATATACTTATAATAATATATTTCTTTATATTTTTATAGCGACCAGGTAAAAGGAAACGTAAACTCAAATTTCATCGTACCAAAAAGCATGCCCCGCACAGGCGTCCAGATCTCCTCCGCCGCATTATTGCACAGCAAAAACTTTTTGGGTAGCTATCGGGGATCGTCGACTCCTATGAAGACGTCGGCGATACAATCGAAGGCAATGATAAAAGCAGCGAACCTAAACAAACGCAAACAACAACTAATACAGCAACTACGAACAGTCACGGCACACACAACACCCCTAAAGCAGTTACTAGTCACAAAAAAGGTTCATCAACAAAATCACGTTGCAATCGTAAGCCAAGCAATAGCAAACAAGCAACAGTTACAACTAAAACTTCAACAGCACATAAAACAAATAACACAACTGCAACAAATGCATCAAAGTCAACACATAAAACAAATGCAGCAAATTCAACAAATGCAACAAATACAGCAATTAAAAAAGATAATAAATAATAATACTCAATTGAAGCCAAATTTAAATGTTGTTAAACAAGCTCCTGCTATGATTACAAACGCGCCAGTATCAGTTAGTAACATTCTACGCTCACAATTAGATGAACTAAAGACACTTAAAGAACCGCTCGGTGCAGATTTGCTAACAACCAATGAAAAGCAATTATGTAAACTATTTAATCTACCTCCGACCAGATATCTATCTCTTAAGACATTATTTTTAAGTGGTGCACCAGTTTCTTCTAATCTATCGCTTGTTGAAAATTCTCTGCGCAGATATTTTATAAAAGTTGGTTGGTTAAGTCAGTAACTGAACAGAAGGTATTAAACTTAAGTTAAGATAGGAACTCAGAATACACTAAATTAAATTGGTTTATTATCGAAAAGGTTGTTAAAATCTATTAAATTTAAGAAAAAATAAAAAACAAGTTAAGTCTTTGTAACAGTTGCTAGTTACAATTATTAATTAAACGACAAACGAAAATCAATTTCATATATTTAATTGTAACAATAATAATTATATATTTATTTTAGATTTAATCAATAATAACAAAATAATAATGAAAATATGCCTGAAATAAAAAAAAGATTATAATTATAAATTCACATTTGGACTTTCCCATAAAAAAACTATTTTATTTTAAATTATGCTTTTTAAAATTTATGCATATATATATATATATATATTCATTTATTAAAAATTAAGATTAGTAAAATTTCGGCGAATAATTTAAAAGACACTTGTATCAAGTTTATGTTGGAATAATATGAAGACATTGTATTTAGTCATATAAATAATAAATTGAATTGAATTGCTTTGCTTGATTTTAGAAATATAAAAATACAAAATATATAATATTAATAAAGTTTAAATAAATATGTATATCAATATATATATAAACAAATAAAATATTAATATTTAATAAATTGTTAATATCTAAAATATATACATTATTTGTTCTCTTCTTCAGAATACTTAAAAACTTTATATTCTCACTATTTTCAAGCTTTAAAAATATATTTTGAATGCTAAAGCCCGGTCTTTGAGAAATTTAAATTTGTTCGTCGAAATATTTCCTTGAAAACTTATGCATTCATTCCAATGCTTCTCTAACTTTTGGTTACATTTTTTGTAGAACGTTATGTCTTTACACTCAATTTTAGTAAACACTTTTTCACTTGAGTCGAATGTCTTTTTGATTTCTGTAAAACGTCAGTAGTCGATGTGAAACAGATCTGGAGAGTATGTTGGGTGAGGAAGCAATTCGCAGCATAAATCATACAATTTAAAGATCGTCTTCACCGGCTTGTGAGATAGGATATTGTTTTCGTGAAACAGCACTTTTTTCTATTACCTATGAATAATATATTTCATATATATATTAATGAATTATATATCATTAAGAAATATATATAGCACTTTTTTTCTTGATTTCTACATTCAATAATATCATGTAATATAGGCTATTGATAGTATGTTTTTTAATATGTAGATGAATTAGACACCATATTCGTTACAAAATACCGATGCCATAACCTTGCCAGCTAGCTTTTGATCGCTTCGGGATACTTTTATTGTTTGTTGTCTATCAAGGCGTGTAGTAGTGGTATCATACCATTGTTAATAATCCTTTATTGTTTACGGTCCAGTATAAGCAAACACGACACTCAACACGAAAGCAAATTTCTCATGAATAAATGTTTCTATAAAATTAACTCCAGAAATACCTGCGATATTTTTCAGTAGTTTTTAATTATCTTTCGTAACTTCACTTTAAGGTTTTCAAAAACGAATTTTTAAACTTTTTTGACCTATTTTCTGGTACAACTGGCTTATTTGGACGTCTAGAATGTTCTGCCACATCAGTGTTTGTACCGTCATGTTTAAAGTCTGAAAACTTCAACGGTTGCTTTCGATTGAGCAGACGTCGGATAACACTTCAAGCTCTTGAAATGTCAGAGCTTTTTCATTGAAAAATAATAATAAATTATCACTTGAAATTGTTTAAAGAATTAGCGTCGCTAAAACCACTGTAATTATTAACCCACATCGCACAGTTTTAACTTGCTATTCCAAAAGGCTCAGATGTCTAGAAGAAATACGTGTTGCAGATTTGAGTTTAACAAACCGTAAATTAACGTAAGATCATTGAAAAATCAAATAAGGAGAGTTTAGTGTCGCACAGTGTTATATATTCATTTATGTATAAACTTTTATACATCAATTTAGAATAGTTTAGTAAATTTATAGTATATAACCGTCGTTTATGCGTTAGTACTAAAAATAAAACTGTGAGCGCGACTGTTATTTGCAAATATATAAGAATTAAGAAAATTTTAAATTTAAATAAAGCAAATCAAGTGTATGCTGGCTTTATCTGTTAACACACGAATCCGCCGTGCAAATTTGACAGGGTTTGATTTCCGATAGTTTCAGGCTAAAAATTATAGCAATAGCTGTTTCCAAAAGACCACTAATGATGATTACTTAGAAGTACCGAAACACCTGTATAGTTAGCTCTAGATTTCACTTGATTAACAATTAATTTTTTGGATTCGAATTATCCTCTTTTTTGGATTATCCTCTTTTCTATTCTAAATGCAAAAAATTATTTGTATTTAGATACTTCATATAATCAAAAGTGCAATACAAAAAAGTCTTATATTTTTAAATTTCGAAATTTTTCCCGATTTTTATTTAAAAAAATGAAAAACAAATATTCAGGGAACAAGTGATCTTTGCAGATGCTAATCAAAATTTATTTCGCATGTTTACATATTCATTAAACTAAATAATGTTTAATATGTATATTTGAGGGAAATTATTTGAAAGCTACAATTATTTATATAAAAGGCTGAGTAAATGCTAAGTGGTGTTGTAGGTCGAAACACTGTTCTTTTTAATCTAAAGCAGTCCGACTTACTTCAAACAATGATTCTAAAAGTGGTTGACTCTACGATAAACATTATTCCCACAAGGGAGCCATTATAGTGTCTAATGATTTTCATAATATAAATTGAGCTTAACATAACTTGTTAGAATACACTACACCATAAAAGGATGACATATCTATGGAGTCTTAATTTCAAACCAAACCAAATTTCATATCACAAATATTTAATTTTTATATTACATAAATAATTTATTTAAAAAATACATCAAGGCAGAATTTGTGTATATGTAGAATTTTAATAAAATATAATTTGAAAGAAACTACCATTTAATTTTTGTTCGATTTACAACTTTTTGATCGCACTTGGTGCTTTACAATTTAAATTCACAAATGTTTTTATCCAGGTAAGACCAAATAATATATTATATATAATTTTTTTTAAACATGAATTAAATCTAGAATCTAAACTTTATACAATTGGTCGCCGCTTCACAAAATACATGAAGCTGGAAATAATCTAACATTTTTATTGAGAAGAATCATACATATAATAGCGTACACAAACATTAAAAAAATAAATATTGAAAACTAAAACACTGCTTAACAAACGTACAGATTTGTTATATAAATAATCGTATCACGTTTTAAATTTTTTATTAAAATTATTATAGTTATATTACTAACAAATTAGGCCATCTATTTTGTATCATACGTTTGATGGTAACTTCATATTGTTTGTTGATTTTCAAAATTTCACATTATAGTAATATTATTAACAATCTATGCCATATATTTTCAGGGAATCCGTAACAGTTATCATTAAAAAAATAAAAATCAACTAATAACTCTTATCTTACAACTTTTAAAATAAAACTCAAAGGTTAATAATAAAATTTGCTTTTTATATTATATTTTCCAGAAATACGGTTATTACTTTTTGAGTTTTATTTTAAAACGCTCATATATATATATAATGCATGCATAATATTAAGGATAAAAGTTGTTAGAAGATAATTATATACTTAAATATTTTTCTTACAAATCTCTGAAATAACTGTTATTTTCGGACTCTATATATTTTATATCATACGATTGACGGTAGTTGCATATTGTTTTCTAGTTTTCAAAACTCCACAATACATAATCATATCTTAATACTAAGTAAATACTTTAAAATTATTATAAAAATTTAACTTGTTTGTAAAATATGAAACTTAAAAGTAAATGTGGATGCTTATTGGTCTGGGAACACCATTAATGAAAATTAAGTAAGGAATTAAAACACATCACTTATTTCTTAAAAAGTAACGATAAAGTGTATTTTTTTGTGTACCATTATTTGTGGTACTGCCAACTTTAGCTGTACTTGTATTGCTAGATGGTTGAATAACATTGCTTGTTGTGCCTTCGCTTGTACACCCGCTCACTGTTAAATTTTGATTAGCAACAGCTGCTGCAAGTGAATTTCTCCACGATGCTATTAGCTCATTCTGTACATCTATCGGAAGCTCATTAAATACTTCACTATCAACGCCAGCTGGATATGGTATATTGGAGACATTACCTTTTATAATTGTGGAGGAAGAAGTAGTTGGTGCAATAGAAGCAGGAGAAGTCGACGTTGGTGTTGTTGTTGTTGTTGAAGGTGCAATAATCTCCGTTTGTTTTACAATTGTTGTTATTGTTGGGAGTGTACCTGAAGTCTCATCCATGGGTGAATGCAATGGTGAATTATCCACTGAGGTACTGGTTAAAAAATGCTTGATAGTACCAATAGGTGGACGGCAGCGGTCTTTTTGTTCCAAACGACTAACTAATGTAGAAGGTGGTATGGTCCGGAAACGCATTGCTATATGAGCCTTACTAGTATTGGTACCGCTTGATATTGGACTTATAGGAAAATCTTTATCACTGTCACGAGAATTTAGACGTAAATCACATACTCTTAATTTACTAGGTGAAGCCACGTCAGCAGCATCTGTACTACCGATAGCGCCTCTCAAACAGCGTCTTTTAGCCAAGAATAAATGACTTAAACGACTTTTCTTAGGTGATGGCTCGATTTCAGTTTCAGAAAAGTCTGAAAAATCAGAGTTTGTTGCGGCTGATTCTGAGCCGTTATCAACAAGCATTGGTATCGGAGATGCAGTTGTAGCACGACGTCGATAAAACTGATCACTTGGTTGAAAAGTAGTGGGCGAAGAACGAAACGCTTCATCGCTATTCGTAGAGGAAACTGAAGGGGTTGGACTTTGTGAAGTTGCTACAACACAAGTATTTGTAAGTGATGTAATAGATTGGACTTCCAAATCGGTTTTCTTTATCAAAAAATTTGCAATAGACGACGAGCCGACTTTTCTTTGCTGAAATTTCGAAAATGCTAAACCAATTAAAGTTATATTAAAAGGTTTTTTTAAATCAACCACACGTTCAAATAGACGCATCACCACTTGAAGAAGTTGATCTTGTGCGCCATCAACCAGAGTAACTTTAGCACCACCTGTGTCGGTACAAGCTGTTGTCTTGAAAAGTGAAGGTAATATATTAGCTTGCTTAGTTTCCCGATGGCTTGTCTTTTTCTGTGGATCAAATTTTCGTAGTATCACCTTTATAGCAATAGGTATACGCCCATCATCAGAAACCTTAAGTATAAGAAAAAAAAATTTAATATTTTATTTAGTAACATAATAAAGTAATCTAGACATACCTGTTCAAGTAAGCGCATTAATAGGAGGCGGAATCGTTCTTCTACATCTGAACTCACTGATATCGGTTTACAAGAGTCCTCTAAACCTATGGTTTTTGGTTTACCAGTCGGTTTCACTAAACTTGTATCTCTGCCAAATGATAGATCTCTTAATTTTTTAGCTGTTTCGGCCCCAAACTTTTTACGCAGTAATTCCATATCACAATTTTGTAATTCCTCCACATTTGCAATACCACTTTCCAAAAGTAACGATTCTGTTTTCTGCCCTACACCAGTAATGCGATGTAAGCCTTTCAATTCCCTCATAAATTGGTCCATATGACTTGATACTAGTACTGTTTGCTGATTTGGTTTGTTTTGTGCACCCACTAATTTGGCTAGTAGTTTATTATAAGATATACCGGCACAGCAGGTAATACCGAGCTGAGTACGTAGATCATCACGAATTTCTTTAGCAATCTGTGTGCCTATTGCTAATCGTTGTGCACAGCCGCAATCACATGCATTTAGAGTTGTGCCATCGGATGGATATATATTTCCAATAACATTGGAACTTTCAAACACATTTTCGCTATTAGCAGAGTGCTCTGCACTATTTAATTGTTGCGTTTGTTGCTGTCGTGTTTGTACCAAAGCTGAAACATCCATAAAATTTTCATCGAATCCGAGCTTTTCTACCAATGGAGTATAATTAAGCAATACTTCGAAAATACGTTGCGACATTTGGCGATAGGGTGACAAATCTTCACCTTTCACTAGCACAAGTTGCGGACAAATACGTTTGGCTTCCTCAATCAACATCAACTTTGTGACACCAAATTTACGGGCCACATAATTGCTAGTTACTACGATATTTTTTTGTTGTATACCTAATGGCTGCGTAGCTAAGGCAGGGTTTCGAATTTCTTCCACTTGAGCATAAAAGCAATCCATATCCAAATGTATTATTGTGCGCTGATGTGGCTCACTTTTACTCAGCACACTGGTAAAATCCATGTTTTATTTCTTGTCTATGACAGAGACTTTTAAATTTTTAAAAATTTTTTATTAATTTATTCAGTCGTTCGGAGCTTTTCTGTGCATTTTTCAATTGAAAGTTTTTATTTTATTTTTAATTTTCTTTGTGAGCAAGCGGCAAAAGTAATTATTACTGTACAGTCCAATCTTGTTTTACCGCGCAAATCAATGGCCAAAACAAAACCGATTTTCACTCATCTCTTATTTGATATCTTTCAACGGGCACGAATTTCTGAAAGAGTTGTTGGCTTTGAAAATGCTTTAGCAATCGCATACACAACACATAATAATTATACCTTTTTTAGTAGAGAATTTATTTATAAGTACTTTCTCCAAGTTGTGCACTTATTTTGTTGTTGTTGTTATTATTATCAAACAAGTATATACAACAAAGAAAAATTTGTCAAAAGGAAATATATTAAATTTACATATTTAAAACAATGCATTCGGAATGAACATATGCGGCATATTTTCAATAAATATAATTTTTCACATTTCTTCTTCTGGAAATATTCTATTTTTGCATAAGTTTTTCTTTATTTTACTGGAAAGTATTTATTTCGAACAACAGGCAGAGAAATGGAGGTCAAAATTATCTGCGACGTAATTACAATACAACTTAGTGTAGTAAATTCATTCACACTAAATATATAATTTTATTTAAATGTATTATATTAAGTAGAACAAAACCGAAATATTTAAAATTTTTAATTACTCTCTTTTAATTTTTCACGAGTTTGTGATGCCTATGAAATTTCACAACTAATGATGTTAATGTTGACATTCGCATGTAATGCGAGAATAAAAATTGCATATACACTGAAAAAAATTTTTGACCATAATCTGCAAATTATATAAATATTGTTTCAAATAATAGTAATGTAATGTCTTTTGTATTTTGTTATATGTTTATTTTATTTATTTTTATTTTTGACGTTTTTAATTGGTAATTCTGGATTTATTATATATTTAGTTTCGGCCTGTCAAATTTTTTTGCTCAATCGTACATTTTTAGAGTAATCTAACATATTTTTAGTCCTGTTAATCGATATTTATAGTTTTCACGAATACATACAAAAGGCTTATGCTTTGTTTTCACTATGTCGTTATAAATGACAATTATAATTGACTATTTTCATTACACTGACAATATGTGACATTGGAAATGACAGCGAAAACGAAACATTACAATTTAGACAACAAATACATCTAAAACAAAATTGAATACAACACAGGAGGGGAAGGAACGACGTTCTTGGTATGTAGTAATTAATAAAAGTATTTTATATAACAAAAACTCAATTAATTAAAAACCAGGTATATAAGTTTTATTTATTATCTTATATATGATTTTTAGTTTCAAAATTTCCTACAAGTGTTTGATTTGATTATTTCAGTTTATTATAATTGTGATATATTTGATTATGGCAACACTGCACGAATGCTAAAATCAGTGCTTCGAACCGTAATTTTTTCTATTCCGATTCAAAGTAAAAAAAATATGTGGTTTCGGTTTTGGTTTTCGCTCCGGCTAAAATATCAGTTTTTTTCTGTTCGGTTCCGGTCTGGTTAAAATGTTAAAAGGCAAATTCGTGTTTCCGTTGTTTTCACGAAGTGCATGTGTGCAATGCCAACGTAGATGTAAATACCATAATACTTATTGTTAACGTTATATTTTATATTGAATATTTACACAAATCTATTCATTATTTTTATTAATAAATTCTATTTATACACAAACTAATTAGGCCTTTCAAGTAGAACCCTATTAGAATTATTCAATTGTAATAATTATAATATAAAGATTATACTGTAACCATTGCTTTGCATTTTTACCAAGTAAACCCAAGTAAATAACAATCCATGTACTCTAAACTCTTACCATTTTCATAAAATAAACTTTTAAATTTTTTTCTGCAATAAAGGAATTTATTTATTTTAAAATCTCTTACCGTTTTTATTTAAAAAAATTTCGGTGTTTTTCGATGGTTCGGTTAAAAAACTTATCCAGAAAACATTTAAAATTTTTTTGTTTTTTTTTTGTTAAACATCCTTTTATTGGATATGAGTAGCACAATCTTAACTATTAGTTAATTTATTACTATTAGTGAATTGTACTTAATAAATATTAAGTAATATGTGTGCGGGTTTACTGAACCAGTGTTCATACAAATAGTTTATAATACAATGTCTAGAATTTTTGGTCATAATTTTATTTTATTTTATAAAATAAAAATAATGAATGCAGCAATAACAATAGATAATTATAAAAATCTATATTAAACCTGTCATGTACATAACTTTGTGTATCCTTCATATATTCGTTAATAATTTTAAGCAAGGCAATTGAATCTAAAGTTATGGTTTAATACAGTGCGCATCAATCCTACAGCAGCAGTGTGCCCATAAAATTTATATGTTTTCAAAATGGAGTTGCAACGCTGTATTCGAATTTTACAAGCAGTTTTGCGAACGCACTTAATTTCGAAATTAAATTTCGAATATACAAATTAACGGGCAACAAATTTTATAGCGTCTTGTTAGAATCATTGAAAGTTGTTTTGTACAGTAGAGAGTGTCTTGGGTTTATGTCATTAATTATAAATAGCAATGGAATCAAAACTACCAAAACCTTCTGGACTTAAACGTCCCTTGCAAATTTCTAGAATACCGACAGATAGAATCAAAACCAACACGTTTGGAACAGTTAAAACTATACAAAATTCTACATTGCCGCCAAATAACTATCAGCCACTTTCCAGAGATTTATCAAATATACCAAGTAATTTTACAAAAAGAGGTATGTTACTTCTGTAAAGTAATTTATAAAAGTGTATTATATATATTTAAAATTAAGATCGTGGCGTTTCACCTGAATTTTTAAGAAAACCAACAACTGAAAACCGAGCAAAGTTACGTCGTAGCAAATCTGCTTGTGATTTACGAGAAATGAATTTTTTAAAACGTAATGATGTGGCACTCGGTTCAATAGCAGCAAAGTCTTCTCGTCTAGCGAATATAAATGCAAATGCAGCAGTAGGGGGTACACAAGTTATAACTCGTCCAGCACGTATGAATACTTTTAACGCAACAAGTACAGCTTCAATTAAGAAATCCACATCAAATCCTACTTCTGCAATACATAAAACAACAAAACGTGCTGCAAGTGCTCCGGTTTCAAATGTAGTCTCAAAAAAGCCAACGCCAGCAGGTTCGTCAGTGACTTCTGTCTCAACCACAGGACCTGGCAAAACGATAAACAAACGTATTCCTGCCTATGACTATAAAGCACGATACAATGACTTATTGGAAAAATATAAAGTGCTTAAACAAAACCATGAAGAAAAATGTGAACTAATGGGTGAAATGGAAACTCTACCTGAACAGTTAGAGGAATCACAAGCTCAGTTATATGAAACGAAAGAACAATTAAAAAACGCACAAACTGATATACAATGTCTGGAACGACAAGTAAAGTCACAAGCAATGAAAATTGAAACGCTGTCAAACAGTCTGGTTAAAACCAAAGAGCAACTACAAAATTTAGAGAAGGAACACACAGTAAGTTTCATTTAAATATATATATATGCACATATTTTTTTTAATGTTGAAAATGTAAAATTTATACTACGTAAATTATATACCGGAAAATGTAAATATACATCACATCTTACCATTGTTTAATAATTTCAGAGAATTTCCAAAGAGCATAGTGCTTTGTCTACGGAAGTGGTGGAATTGCGGGAAACTAAAAATAATCTCACAATTACCGTTACAGAGTTAACGGAAGAATCGCGAGTCAGCAAAGAGCAATTATTTCGTTCCAACATGGAACGTAAAGAGCTGCATAATATGGTTATGGACTTACGAGGGAATATACGAGTATTCTGTCGTGTACGTCCATCTCTGCCATGTGAAGAGGATAAAATGTTATGTGGCTGGAATTATCTAGATGAAGCTACTTTGGAAATCTATAGTCAAAACGATGCAGCCACTAAAGGTAAAGTTAGTCACACTTTTGGATTTGACCAAGTATTTCATCCCTGTTCCAGACAATCTGAAATATTTGAAATGGTATCACCGCTCATACAATCAGCACTTGACGGATATAATATCTGTATTTTTGCTTATGGTCAGACAGGCAGCGGGAAGACTTACACCATGGATGGTGTGCAATCTAATCCAGGCGTTATACCACGTACTGTAGATTTGTTATTTGAATCAATAAAGAATTACAAGCGGCTTGGATGGAAATACGAAATAAAAGTAACATTTCTAGAGATTTATAATGAAGTTTTATATGATCTTCTTAGTAACGAGCAAAAGGAGATGGAAATTCGTATGGCCACAAATAATAAATATGACATATATGTATCCAATATTACAGAGGAAACTGTGACTACAGCATCTCGTTTGCGCGAACTTATGAATTTGGCCAAAATGAATCGTGCTACCGCATCTACAGTCGGTAACGAAAGATCATCACGTTCGCATGCGGTAACCAAAATTGAATTAACCGGTATTCATGAGGATAATAATGAAATGTCGGTTGGTACGATAAATTTAGTTGACTTGGCTGGTTCAGAATCGCCTAAAACAAGCACACGTATGACTGAGACTAAGAATATAAATCGATCGCTCTCAGAATTGACTAACGTTATACTAGCGTTGCTTCAAAAACAAGATCATATCCCTTACAGAAACTCAAAACTTACACATTTACTAATGCCTTCGTTAGGTGGAAACTCTAAAACTTTAATGTTCATCAATGTAGCTCCTTTCCAAGATTGTTTTGTGGAATCACTCAAATCACTACGATTTGCAGCCTCAGTGAATTCGTGTAAAATGACAAAGGCTAAACGGAATCGTGTTTTAAATTCTTCTACAAATAATATTATGAATAGCTTAAATTAATCAACAATTTGTAAAGTAGTTAGACGTTTTATTTTATTTTTAGTTATTTGAATTTATTTTAATTGTTAAAAAATTTGATTTTTAAAAACAAAATTTAGTTCTTTATTTTTTCTAAAGTATTATAGCCGAATCCAAATTTTTATACTTAAAAACTAAACAATATAAATAAAAAAAAATATACTATTTCGCTATATCTTAAAGTAAATAGAAATTATAATAGCCCAGTATATGTGTATGAAATACTTGATTTTATAATTACGTAAATACCTCAATTACGCGAGAAAATTATAAAAAATATATTTCTTCTAATTCTTTTGACAAATTATCGTACATTTTTACTTCCTCATAACTTCTAATACGCTTTCTGGAATTTTTTTCAGTATTTCGCAGTGATCGATTTTTCCGTTTGTAGCTAAAACGCCTCGTTTATTTGGAAATTCAATACAGGCATTATATGAGTAGTGGTCGCCAAGCATATCTGTAAGTGTACCACCATTAGCCTCCAGCACTGCTTCCGGAGCACAAGTATCCCATTTTTTACATCCTGTGAAACAAGACTTTAATTAGAATATTTTTATACTGTATTAAGAGTTGGAAATTCCAAAACTTTTTTTTCAAAAATTTTGTTGAAAACTCCAAAACCTTTTTTTCGTTAAATTTTGTTTACAATATTTTATTATGTATTAATAGTTGAAAACTCCAAAACTATTTTTCATTAATCTCTCTGATATAATTTAAGAAAAACTTTTAATATAAAACTTTTACTAACCTGGGTTAGGAAATACGTAAGCGTGCGCCTTTCCTTCCAATAACTGTAGCACTTTAAACCCAGCTCCACCAACTTTTATCACTTCATTGGGCGCTAGCGCATCCAAAGCAGCTTGTACACTTGGACTAAAATAAAAAATAAATGTGAATAAATCTAGTTTAAGAAGTTATAGAGCTGAATTTTTTTAACAAGTTTCATTCAATAATTTTTATTTTAAATTTAAAAAGTAATTATTATTTGTTACTTAATGACTGATTCATGACATCATGATTGATTAAAGTGCACTACTTTGAATAATTAGTTTAATTGCACTTAACATACCTGAAATGGGAACGAGTTGTGGTTATAATTAGTTTATTATCGGGCGGATAAGAAGGTACAAAACCACCTATACCTAAACCTTTTAGGCCCCATATAGTACGACCTAACATTCCACCATCATTTTCGTAATAAGGCTGGTGTATTACACCACCCACTGCGCAATTTTTAATTGCTACGCCAATAAGTACAGTAACATGATCTAGGAACCCTGGAACAAAAGTTACTGTTAGTATGTATTTACTCAATATTGTAGTATAAATAAATTAACCTTGCGTATATTCAGATGTGCCATCAAGTGGGTCTACCCATATAACAAAATCTTCGTCTTTTATTTCTTGGAGTTCTTCTGGACAGTTTTGTTTTAAAAACTCTGCATCGGATTCCTTAACTAACCAATCATCTTTAACATTTAAGTCAGAACCACCTTCTTCACCGATTATTTTTATATTTGGAAACTCTTTTGTTAAAGATGCAATTATGCAACGTTGTGCCGAACGGTCGGCTTCTGTTTGCAAGTCATCTTTGCCCTTAATACAAATAAATTTAGAAAGTTACATGAATACCTTATCATTGAGATTTTTATTTTACTTGCTTTTTCTACTATATTTAAATTGCCTTTTTTCATGACATCTCTTATTATGGTACCAGCACGGTTCGCAGTTGTAATGGATAAAGCCATTACCCGCATTATAGTCGGAACAGTCATTTTATTACAATTACAATAATTTTTAAAATATATATTATGGTTTGACTGAACTTTGCGAAAGTTAACTTTTTCCGTTTGTATTGTTTTGGAGACCGTAGCAGCTGACCGCATCAATCTTGCGGTGTAGAGATTTGACAGCACAAACATAATGTATTATCTTTAATTAATGTTCAATGGTTTTTAACTAATTTAAACAAATAAAAAATAAACATTGCAAATAATTTTTTTTTCGCTAAATTTTAGAATATAAAAATAGCATTACGATATGTCTTGTCTCAGTTTTTTACAATAAAAATATCCCCAAACTTCAACAAAGTTGTTTTGATGTTGGCAACATCACACAACCTTTGGACTTTTTTTACATTTCTGGTGCTGGTTGAACATTAATTCAAGTGGTGGGTGCTTAAATTTAATTAATTCAATTATTTTAGTATTATTAACAAAAAATTCTAATAAAATTTAGAAAATGGCTCGTGTTTTAGTAGGTGTGAAGCGCGTTATCGATTATGCCGTTAAAGTACGTATAAAAAATTTATTTAAAAATAAATCAGCTAATTTTTTCAATCAACTGTTGCTTTTGCGTAATCAGTATATTTTTTTTATTAATTTATTAAATATTTTAGGTACGTGTTAAGCCTGATAAAACAGGCGTTGTTACTGAAGGTGTCAAGCATGCCATGAATCCATTCGATGAGATTGCTGTTGAGGAGGCTGTTAAGATGAAAGAGAAAAAATTAGCATCAGAAGTCATCGCGGTATCAATTGGCCCAACACAATCTCAGGAAATTATACGCACTGCATTGGCTATGGGCGCAGATCGTGGGTTACATGTAGAGGTTTCTGGTAAAGACTATGAGCTTTTACAACCAGTGCATGTATCAAAAATATTGGCCAAATTGGCATTGGATGAGAAAGCTGATTTAGTAATACTTGGCAAACAAGCTATTGATGATGATAGCAACCAAACTGCACAGATGACAGCAGCTGTTTTAGATTGGCCACAAGGGACATTCTGTAATAAAATTGAAAAAACTGATTCTGGACTAACAATAACACGTGAAATCGATGGTGGTTTGGAGACTATTAAAACCAAAACACCTGCTGTCTTAAGTGCTGATTTACGTTTAAATACTCCACGTTATGCAACACTACCTAATATAATGAAAGCCAAAAAGAAGCCATTAAAGAAAGTCACACCAAAAGATTTGGGTATTGACACAACTCCACGCATTGACGTCATATCCGTTGAAGATCCACCTGTACGCCAAGCTGGTGCTGTGGTAGCCGATGTAGATGCTTTGATTGCCAAATTGAAAGACGGTGGTCATATCTAATTTATGTGCGAAGCTTAAAAATAAATATGCTACGGACAATATTAAAGTGCATTTATTAAATTACTTTTAATTTTTGTTTGTGAATTTGAATGATTTTTTTATCGGCAATTTATACAAATGATATAATTTTAAGAGAAACTGTTTTTGTAACTAAAATATGAACTATTATAGTTTAAATATAACACCTCAATTAAAATTTAAAAAATGCGTTGAAACTAAATATATAAAGAATTTTATCAATATTAAATATCATCGGCCTTATTATGAAAATATTAATTTTCATTATGAATTCGCTTTTTTTTTAATTTTATTCTACAGATTAATTGCAGACTCTTATCGATAGTATTATTTCTGAGTATACATAGTTAAAGACTTTATTTTATAATAAACCGAGTATGTGATAACTTTCCTGCCAGTTGACCTTAGTTTGTAAAGTATGTTTTAATGTTTTAAAGACTATGAACGTAGTTCTTTAATATGAGTGAGGCATTTAACTGATTTTAATCTTATTGAAACTTGTCGGTCTATTTTAAATATATGTTTGTCAAAAAAACTCTTAAGGTATAAAAAACTTACTAAAATCATTCAATTATTCATTCGTAAAATGTTAAAACGGTTACATACTTGGTAGTAGTAAGATAATAATCCGGATAATAGTAAGAAATCATACTGAGCAGTAGTAAGATAAAAATTCGGGTGTTAGTAAGATATCATACTGGGTAGCAGTAAAATAATAATTCGGGTAGTAGTAAAAAATTATACTGGATAGTAGTAAGATAATAATCCGAGTGGTAGTAAGAAATCATACTGAGCAGTAGTAAGATAAAAATTCGGGTGGTAGTAAGATATCATACTGGGTAATAGTAAAAAATTATATTGGATAGTAGTAAGATAATAATCCGGGTGGTTGTAAGATATCATATTGGCACAGACAAATAATTCATTTCATGGTAGCCAGCTAAAAGCACAATCAGCTTTAAATTGTAGAACAATTAAGAGACAAACAAAAGCTGTGTATAACACAATGATCATAAGTGTTCGAAACACACGAAAGAGCTGTTGAATGAGCGTATGAGAAGGTGTGTGATATAGTATAGAAATTGTTGCTATATTTTCTATCCATATTGCTAGTTTGGGTGCTTGTGTGATTTATATGTTGACAATTTTCTGCAACAGCTCTTTCGAGTGTTTAGGACACTTAAGATCATTGTGTTATACATAGCTTTTGTTCACTTAATTGTTCTACAATTCAAAGCTGATTGTGCTTTTAGCTGGCTACTCGAGCTGGCTACCATGAAATCAGAGGGAGTAATTTTTTTGTTCTGCATTCGCAATCTATGTATGACTTGTCTGTGATATTGGGTAGTAGTAAGATATCATACTGATTAGTATGATATCTAAGTCATACGGTAAAAATAGATTTCTTTGCTTTCTTATTTAAACACATAAATAGATAGTCATAGCACCTCATTGCAACATACCCTATGACTACCTCATAAGTGGAACTCAAGTACAATCTAATCTGACGAAATAAACTGTAAGCTGGCAGTTTTCGTGGGGATGCTTAGTTCACGGAGTTTTGCTGAATAAAGATATTCTTGTCATCATTTTCGACAATTTCGCGTTGGTTTAAGGAATTTAAAGAATAATGAAGTTAGTTTAAAGACGAACTCAAAACACGAGTGTTTAGTTAATCTATATACAATGCTTACTAGCTTTGTAAACAGTAGAGCAAATTAGATCAAAATGATTACTGTGGTGTAGATGAAATTCATATCTATCTATTTTTTTTTTGTCGAATATCTTCACAGAATCTGCACTTCAAAAATATTTAAATTTACATAAGTCGTTTTTAATTAATAAATACAAAATTATTTTATTGCCAACAATACAAAAAAAAAAATTCAATCAATTTTCAAACAAGCTCATTAAAAATTATTTAAATCAAATTAATTCAAAATAAATCTTTGTATTTAGCTTGAGTGATTCAAATTTTACCATTTATAGTTATTAAATTCATTACATTTTTCATTTACTAAAACACATTTATTCGAAAAAAAAAGTATGAATACATTTTGTATGAAACATAATTATATATAGAATAGTTATATAAAAGTTACTTAAAAACTACAATATATATATATATATATTTGTTTGCATAGAATAGGTGAGATACATTTTTTTGTTTTAAATATATAAAATATGGACATACTTTGGACCGGTTAACATTGTAAAATTTCTTTAAATGGCATGCAATGTACAATGGAAAGAACAATCACATACTAATTTCATATAATAGTTGAGAATGTTTAGTTTTATTAAAAATAATTAAATAATTCAAATAAAAAAATTTTTAGAGATTAATAAAAATTTCAAAAGTAAATATTGAGATTTTTAAAAAAATTTTTGAAAAATGCTAATAATTGTTATTTATTCTAGGCAGTATAAATATGCTTGATACTAGATTTATAAAAAATATTTTTTTTTTATATTATGTATATAAACTATTTCAATATACATATAATTTAGTTTGTTCTGCTTTTTCCCATACATGGTATAATCTCGTTGATCATTTTTTGTTTTGTAAATATAATTTCTTTTGGGATTTATTTTGTCTATACTATTAGGCTATACTCGATTAGGCCCTACCCGCTGGTGGTATTTTATCACTGAAACGCAGTATACGTGTCAACATTGTTGTAATGCATGGAATTTGTTTTTGTTGATGCATTTCTGGAGTATCCGGAGTGCAAGATTCAAAGTCAACAGCAACACGTTGACAAACAAACGTGAGTAAGGTTAAAATATCGAGACGTTTACCATTAGCGGCCAATTCAGCGCATAAAGATTGCATAAACCATGAGCCGCGTGTGGTATTACGCCAAGAATAGAATCCCGGTACTGTAGAGTACGCAATGAGAAAGTCTGCATGCACTGGTATTTTATACGACATTGATGATTCACCGTCCGTTTCAGTTTGTGCACGTTTCATTGTAACACCAGGATCAAGACGATCACCCTGACAGGCTTGTATGAAAAATAGTTTAGGCTTGCCTGCTAATGTTGGACAATGTTGTGCCGTGAAATAACTCCATACCGTATCCAGTTTATATTGTGCATCCTTTGCATATATATAACCAAGTTCGCCATGCGATAGAATCGCTATTAGTATGCAATCATTATCGCTATGATCTTTACGTGCGGCAGTTTCTATGTATCTAGTCAATTCCTTTAGACGACAGTCTTTATACACGCTAACTTCAAAATCTAATTGTGTTAGCACACGTACTAGATTATCACAGTCTACATTAGTACCAGCACGAGCTTTTAGTGTGGGTATCTCGAAGTGTTCGTGATTGAATATAATTGCTAAGCCACGATTCTTATGACGCATATTGTACTCAGACGCATGACGGTCTGTTGTCATTTTTGCTGTATATTTATGGTAGGCACTGCCACCATAATTATGACCATTCGCTAATTGGCCAATAGCACCAACCGAGGAGTTAGTGCTGCTGGAAACCCCCGTTCCAACCGTACCGAATGCATCGGTGTTATCATCCGTATTTGTCGCGCGTTCAACGCGTATTCCAACTTGATCTTCAGCCATCATAATTTCAATATATTTTCAATTAATTACTCACTCACACGCGCTTTGTTATTAGCTATTAATTAAATACGAAATTAGGCGTTTATTATAATATTTAAAATCGTTTCTAAAAGTTTAATATAATTTGCAAAGCACCAAACAACTTGTTTATGCTAAAAACTCGTTATAATTTGTTATTAATTTTGCAATAATGCCGTTCACATCTGCGCTTTCTTTGTCGTCTTTACTTTGTTTGCGTTGTTGCAAATGTTTTTGATGATGCATTTTAGGTGTTCCATTGTGTTTGTGCTGTATAAAAAGCAAAAAAAGTAGTATTTTCTTGTATGAACTGTATGTCTGAAAGCAACTGAGCAAAAAGGTAGCATAAAAACAATTTAATTCATAAAGACGAGGGTATCTTCAAAAATTTGTATAGTATAATTACCAGTAGTTGGATAATATAATGCTATGTTCAGACAGCCAAATTTCCCTAATTTCGTAAAAATAAAATTAAGTTAATTTCGAAAATGTTCACACTGGATCAGGATATAAAAATTAATTTCATAAAAATGAAATTAAGTTAATTTAGAATATGTCCTCACTGCCCCAAATCGTATGTTTTTTATTTACAAATCGAATGTTAAAAATTACATGAATCAAACACTATTTGTGTCTGGAAAATTTTAGAAGTTGATTATTATAGCTATAAAGGATGGCATTCAATAGTTTTATTAGCTTTAGTGGATTTCAAGTATGTGAATTATTATTTTTCACTCTCTTTTAAATTAATAACAATTACAGTTTTTTTTCTATATTCAAATTTTAAAATTTGCACTAGTTTCAAAATATTTCCCGGTTTTATTAAAATCAACTGTCATTGACATTTATTTAAAAAATGATCTTTTTCGTTATCTCAACTGTATCTTTTGCTTAAAATTTATCTTACGCAAAGTTGCAATTGAAATGTCCCTTAACTTAAGTCTCCTTTTCACTATATTAAGGCCATTCTCCTTAATTTCGTTCTAACCTCAAAATTGAATTTTGTATAGAAAAAACAATTTCGCTAAAACGAAGATGAAATTAAGATTTTTGCGAAAATGTGTGTCTGCACATAGTACAAAAATGTCTATAAAGTCTGCAGTAAGAATATATATCTTTCGAACATTCGAAATTGTGTAGTTTGCTAAAATTTATATAATACTAAAAAATAGTACTAATGACATTTTTCGGTTGGTAAATCTTGGGTAACTTTTTAAATCGCGATTTACTTTTAGTGCAATTTTCATTTTTAATTGGTAAATCTTGAGCGAAGTGTATAATACTGCAGATTATACTCCAGCGTTTCAAGATTATCCTGAAATTAACAGTTCTTTTATATGACTTGACAAATAAAGTGTGAGTTGATTCGATATATGTAATGGCGTTTTTGATTGGTAATTCTGGATTCAATCTAGATTTACTATAGATCTATCAAATTTTATTACCCAATCGAACAATCAATCGAAATTTAATTATAAATATCTACTAACACTACTACAAATAAGTTAGGTTACTCTAAAAACGATCGATTGGGCAATAAAATTTGACAGATCGAGATTTAGTATAGATTGAATCTACATTTACCAATTGAAAACATCATAATAGAATAGAATATAATAGAATAGATAATAGAAATAAACGATTTGATTAAAATTAAAATATTCTACAAATTGCTTAGAGTTAGTTATCGATAAAATATTATGATAGTATAAACATGGATGCCAAAAACACTACGGAATTTCCGTTGAAGACTTCTTTTTCATATCATGAAATAAATGAGTAGATTTAAAAGCTTTATGATATTGTTCTGATAACGTCTCGTAGCTTTAATATATTGGAATAGAAGATAATTAGATACTTTTTACTTTTATTTACCGGATGTTAAGCTATATAAAATATAATGTAAAACTTTACTTGTAAATTGTGTCAGTTGTTCACTGTAGTAAATTAAATTTAAAAAAAAACAGGGATTTTGTCTAACAATGGATCAGAATAGTGCATCCATACTAGTTGTTTAAAGAACTGACTCTAACAGAAGAGCAGAAATACAGCTTTATGAATAAAGTCAAAAATGGATTATTTGATATCGGCAGATAAAAGTAGTAGATAAAGGCATTCCAGTATACTGCTACCTCTGGTCTAACTTAACAACATTGTTATTTAAAAATATATAAATAAATAAACTATGTAATAACATAGTTTACGAATATAAAAAAAATAGAAGATAAAAGGCTCCTCGGCTTGCCTTAGAATGATGTGGCGAGTTTATAGCAGATCTTTTCAGGACTGACTATAACCGAAGAGAAGATATTCAGCGTTACGAATGCCAACAAAATATCATGGTTTTTTTAATATCAGGATTATATGAGAGCTAACGGATCAGTATTCTCTATATCAGTATTCTATATATTCTATTCTCTATATCAAATTCGAATCATATAGAATGTTATTTAGAGAGTCAATCATAACTCAGATTGATCTATCTTATAAAGATAAAACTCTTATTAAGATGATCGCTTAGGTAATCTGCCAACAACCTTAGCTCTGCTTTACATCAAAAATAAAATATTTTAATAGCGTAAAGACTCGTCAGGTTGGTTCATGCTATCTTGAATGAGGAAAATGTGCTTTACAGCGTTGTTTATATGCTGACCAAAGCAGTTCTTTTGAGGGTCCTTCAACGAGCGATCATTTGAGCTCAAGTGGGTTTTGATTCACACCACTCCACGCCTTGCCTAACCTAACTTCTACATATATAGTATAAGCTAAGAAAATATTTACAAGATTTGTGTTTGTATTGTTTTTTTTGATATTATTTTCTCATATTAATGTTACAATATATTTTCAACGCATAAAAGATATATATAATACAATATAACTACAACATAAATTTTTAAAAATTTGCAATGCAATTCTGAATTGTATAAAATTTGCAAACATTTTCTTAACAATTTGTATATGTATATAAAATTCTGGGGGTAACATATATAATAGGTATATAACACTTTATTTCACTCAATTTTTCCTTGTTAAAATTTCATAAAGGTAATTACAAAAACAGGTCTAAATAACTTATTCATATTCAAATATTAAACCACTGCCTTTAGTATTCTGATCAATCCATTCGTCAAAGCGTTTCGACATTTCATCCGATATATAATTCTTCCAATCGCCAATTTTTCCTTTACGTATAAACTTACAATCACCATTTTCTTTATCTCTATGTTGATCTCCATTATTTATCACATTGTTATTGTTGTTGTTGTTGTTATTGTTAAAAATATTATTATTTAAAATTGGATCTAAGTTGACAGCTGGATTTACTTGCATTTTATCAAATTTTAAATGTTCACAAATTTTTATTAAACTCTCATCGGTGAGCTCGTATTGTACGTTAAGGAATTTTGCGCACTTCCGTACAATGCTTGGTAAGTTCTGATTCATATCTTCATATTTGATGAAAAGTACATTAGGATCCTGACTACGTTTCCAAAATGGTAAAACGTGATTCCAATAAGAACCAATTGGTGAACGTTCGTCGAGGAAAAGTTCAAGGAAGTCTTCAAAAGGACCATGTAATCCATGCATTAATTTACAGTAATAATAAAACGAAACACACAAGTCTTTGGGATTTCGAGAAGTATATATTATCTGTATACTCAAAGTTGTTTAATGAATTAATATCAAATGAAAATAGTTGTAGTTGATTAAATACCTTAGGTTTCACACTTTCAAAACTCTGTGGTAATAAGTGCCAAGGCAAATGGGAACGTATAAATCGTGGCCGCGGTGTGTTACGAACCACATCAACTGTGTTTCCAATCGAATTGCTAGTTTTTAAGCAATATTTTTCTAAATTTTTGCAATATCTATATGAATTATAGAAATTTACTTACGCTACCCATTCGTGGTGGTCCTCGCTAAATAATGCAGACAATTCTATTAGTGGACATCTAATTTGTTGCATTTGCTTGGCACCTTCATAATCTAAATTATTTCCCAGCAACCACACCATTTCTTGAGCCCAAGTTGAGCCTGTACGTGGATACGAGACTAACCATACATCGTCTGAAAAAGTGGGCAGTTCTCTAATTGACTGACCAACATCCGCAAACTTACGCGGCAAGACTACACTGCCCGGTAGAACCTCAATAAAACATTCTTTCTTCGGAAACAAGGCATCGATACGTGTTGATATTTCTTTGTTCAGTGGCTTATATGAGATCTCCATACTTTCTTCTGCTCTATGAAATTAAATTTTCTTAACTCTTGCACTTGTTATGTGAAAATTGGACATCCGCTTTAGGCAGCACTCGCTGAAAAACTGTAGCTTCAATTTTCGTTTGCATTCAACTGTGGCTGGAAAACTAGCAAATTATTGCTTCAGTGAAAGTAAAAGCGCAAATAGATACATTGAAAACCGGCATCTTACCAATTTAGCTGGCAAGTCAAATTGATTTAATGATACATTTTGCGCTTGTCAACTTAGTTGTGGTTTTATTTTAACAAGTTTGAAATTCCTTCCAATAGTAAACATGCATTTCTGCAAGCGATTGATGTCATGGCTAAAAGAAAAATTAAAAATAGATCAAAATTTATTTTCTCATGACCTGTTCAGGCCTTGTAGGTGTTATAATCATACGTGTTATAAACCCGAATAAGTGGTATATGGTATTTCTTTAATAATCATACTGCTCTTTACTATATATGCGTAAAACATCTAATAATCTCCTCACGCTATACTAGAGGCATTCAATAGAATATATTTTTTGATAACTATTTTATGAGTATCCGATGTTAAAATCAATTAACACAATATACAAATTTATTCAATGTTTTTACCACAAACTAAGACTTCAAGACACCAAAAATCATTTCAATACATATTATATATATAAATAATCCTTAGATAATTTAATAAATCTTTCGTCCTTATCGATGAACAGTCCGACAAACAGTCAAAACAGTTCTTCCTCAAAAAAACTGTTTTTCTAGAATCCAAACCTCGGCTGTCAAAGATGAAATACTTGCTTGTTTCTTACCAGTAAAAGTATTCATAACTTCTAAAAAGAGTATTTATGAAAAGGTACAGTTCTTTGCATTATTTCTATATACCAGTAACCAGAGCGAAGTACAGTAAGTCTTGTGATATTCATGAAGTCACTGTTAATACGTTCACAGCATCCGATCTTGTTATTAGAAGGCCATCAAGAAAACATTCAGCAATTTCA